AACGAGCGCGTAGAGTATTACGAGAGGAAGTATAAAAGATATTTTAAATGGAAGTTTAATCCAAGAGGAGCCACTTTTTTTGGCTTGGGGTTTTACTTAATACTTTCTTGTTTACTAGTTATACCCTCGTCTTATTGTAAAATATAAGGAATAGAGCTTAAAACTATCCACCATGCTGACCCACTTAAGCTCAAAATTCTTACTAATTTTTATGCTGTTCTGAGCTGAATTGAGGGTACCCACGGTATTGGTTTTAATTATAAAATTATATTACAGAGAAGGAAGTTTTAATGATATATCAATTTTTAAAATGAGACTCCTTCAGTTGTAGTACCGGTTCTAATTTAATAATACATTTCACAATTAAGTATAATAAAGGAAGGTTGAAGCAGAACTTTTACTGAATCATATTATACTACACCCGAAAGATTTTAATCTCTCAAGCAAGTACTTACTATTAAGGTTTCACACGCTGCTTGCAAACACGCGCATATAAACGTGTTTATAATTGAAGTCATTGGTTTTCACTTGGTATGTATACGTAATCCTTAACTCCGATTTTTTAATTGGATGCGCATCTACCCGTAATGTACCATTAAAGTCAGTTTAGCTAAAATGCTCATAGCTTGCACCCCTTTCTTACTAGATTGCACTATTTGAACTTGTAATAACAATTTTTGTGATAGTTTGTGTAACAGTAGCTCTCTATAATTCTTAATGTATAGCAACTTGAAAACTGTTAGTATATTAAACTATTTAGGGCCAAAAGTATTATTATTTTCCTTTAAATACTCCTGGTAATTTTAAAACTCGTCCTCAGCTGGTATTACAATTGGGTCTAGGGGCATTAAATTTAAAAAAATCTATTATAAAGCTAGATTAGTTAAAAGCTACAAAGTTAGAATTCAACAATAGTAAAACTTGTTAATTAAAAATAAAAACAAAAGAAAACATTCGAGCAGAATAATGGCTACCTTAATTGAATATAGCATGGCAGTAGTAAAAACATTTTTCTTGAACAAAACCGTAACTTCTATGGTTAATAAGACTTAAAATAGGTCGGTAATCATCTCTAAATTGGTGCAGTCTAGGATGGAACTTAGAAACTAAGATAAAAGTATTATAAATAAATATTTAATTTAAGTGAGTAAGGTGCTCTAATACTTTAATAGATGGCTTACCCCCGTTTCCCTTCTGGTATTATTAAGCTATGGTTCCGCAGTCTCTTGGTGCATTTTCTTTGAGAAACGAAATGAAGCTAAAATCTGCTTTTATCCTTGACTTACTAGCTGTATTGACTACTCCGTGATTTAAGTGCTTTTATCTCTGATCCATTAAAGATTACATGGAAGTAGTTAAAACGCACGTAAACTTCCCTTTGGTTAAAAGATAATTAGTACTATTTAAAAGCAGCCTCCGTACACTCAAAAGTTAGTAGAGGGCCTAATCTTAGTATTTGGATTAAGTTCCAGTAAGTTATTAGTGTTATCTTCTAACAATCTACGAAGCCTTCGTTGGACATTAGCTCATGATGCTTATAAAATAGTCCTTGCTTAAGCAATAGTTTTGTCTGATTGCAGTGGACTAATTTTTATTGCTTTATAAATAAATATGATAAATACCATCATATTACTGTACTCACTGGGTGACACCGCTAAATTACATATATCGTGTATAAGAAGACAGCAACGTCCATTTCCCGCGCCTGTGCCTGCTTTATTTTTTTTTCTTTTACAAGCAAACAGCTGCGTGGGCAAGCTAACAACACTAACAACAAGAAAGGCGAGAGCAAAAAGAACCGGAGATGTTTATTATAAGCAATCAAGCCGTTTATGTTATACCTTTACAAATGGTTGAAAAAGCATTCCAGATATATATGTATTTTTGGATCAATCCAAGGTTTCTTAGCTGAGTTTACTTCGGTTTCGAATTTAAAAGATAATTATTATATTTATATAATGGATATTAATAGATATTTGGTTTTCATAGCTTCTGCCAAACCGTATAAAATTTCGTTTTTAAAAAATTTTTTTTTTAGTTAATGATGTATTTAAGTGATTTATCTTTTAATTATAATTTTTATGTTACATAGTTTTGTTTGTGTGTATGTGTATATGTTAGTGTCTGTGTGATTTTTCGATGCAATCTCTTGGGCTTTGGTCACCGAGAGGTACGCAAAAACTATCCTCCTCTAAAGATCTTTATTGGTAGTGGTGGAGGTAGAACTCTTAGCGAAAGCACTAGGCATATTTTGGTGCTTTTGAGTGTTAGCTTTGGTCTTTTTAGCTTTCGTCCTGTCGTACACGTTCTAAAATTTAGAGGATAACCTTGTTTCCAGTGGTCTCTATTGTACAAATGCTTGTAAGCGACAAGCATATTATAAAATTCAGTAATTCTGCCTTGAGTTAGGCTTCACTAAACTGTTCGAAAGAGTGACATTAGCTGTAAAATCTCTATGTCTTCAGAATTACTTTGTCTGGGTGGATTACCGTCCTCGGGTTGATTCTACGGTAAAAACTGTAGTAAATCTTCAAAGTGACGGTTAATAACCCTTTAAGAGACCTGCTTCTACACTTCAGTAGGCTTTAGTGTACTTTATATTACAATTATAAAGAATCGTGCTATGAAGATGGTTCCCTATTTTGGGGCAATATTATCAGCGTTAACGAAGATCGAGAGAGTTCTATAGTTGTTTTAACTTACGGTTCACCAGATTTACTCTTAGCATTAGAAAAAACTCGAGCGGACAATGGACCTGTGAAAGGTTTTAGTTTATCTTTTATCTTAACATGTAGGGTACTGCCGTTTGTAATGAGACAGGGTCATACATGATTTTAGTAGTAAGACTGTGTTACTAGTCTTGCGCTAATGTATGATTGATCAGTAAATCTGCTGTTAACTTACTAGTTCACGATGATACATTATCCTTGAATCCTGTAAATTTACTTTACTAACTGGACATTGGCTCAAGTAGCTAAGACTTGGGTTTAACAATGTCGACTGTAACAAAAACTTTTTTTTAGGCCCTTTAGGCATACCGAAACCTTTAATGGGTGACATAGTTAATAATACTATTCGCATCAACTTTAAATGCAGATAAGCTATTTACGAATTAGTTTGAATTAATATTTGATTCTAGTCTCATGCTAGGCTGCATTAATGCTTCTTAGTTAACTTGTACTTGGCTTAGGAGTATTAAATGTAGCATATAGTATAAGAGGAGATACTTCGTGATTCTTGACCAATTGATAATTGATTAGATAGCGCTATCCTATTTGTCTGGCTAAATAATTGCTCAAATTTAATAGTGCCTTCTTTCTATATTTTTACAACTCTAGCATAATGAGTAAGTATACTAATAAAATAGTATCATGGTAAGTGAGTACTATATAGAAACTGAATCTCTCGGCCAAAAACGGAAAATACATTGAGATGCTGCTGATAGTAATAATGAAGCTCCCCTCGGCATCTTTCCGTTGTCGTGATGCTATTAAATTTCTAGCCACTAGCCTTCACGATAAATCTTATATCAGACACATATTCCTGCTTTATAAAAAAAAAATTAATAAAAAGTTTTATTGGCTGTCAATCATTGTACACAGCAAAATTATATACAAAAGCATAGCCCAAATTATTTTAAAGACCACATATAGATTAATGTTACCTTTTATAAGTTTTATTATAAAAATTACAACCAGTTCCTTTGTTTCGTTAACACGCATGGTTAATTTAGATAACTTAAGTAAATGTTCATTTTTTATTAGGAGTGTAGCACTCAGTATTAAAATTTTCCAATCATTAGTATTTTAATATATAATTTATATTTGATTTATTATGTCTGAAGTATCAGAAATCCGAGAAAATATAGTTTCCTATGAAACCACTGCAGCTTTTGAAGGTGATAATTATTTATCATGTGATATTACATAAAAACTTAACGGCAGTTTGTTAATAATTTATTAGGGGTAAGTTTATGTTAAAATATCATTTTGTAGGGGTTATAGAAAGACAAAATTATAATAAAAAAAATTAGTTTCTCTATTAACGGTAAAGTAGTAGCTGAAAATATGTTAAAATATAACTATTAATTATAAGAGAAGTATAAGTACATAAAGTCAAATGGAGGGAACATGCTAATCTAAATGAAAACAAACGATTGCGATAGTTTACCAGGTCAACGCTAGCTTAAATACAAGATGTTCTGTTCTTTCCAGGTTCTCTATTGCAATTTTGCTCTAGCAATTATTTAAAGTAAAAATAGTTAATAATCGACCTTGCTGACCTTTTTTTTTCTCCCTTGAGGCGGGCGTTTGCTTTCGGGTAATGAAAAATGTAGTTATTGTGACTGCAGTTCGCTATACCGTAAGATATTTAATGCATCCTTTTGCTAAAACGTAGCTGGTAGAGAGTTTTTTTTCCTTATAAATTATTTTTGTGGCGTTGCAGGTTATGTATGAAGTTAAATATTACTTTAGTTCCTTTAAAATTTTGAGTTCTTAATAGTTAAAGTTTTTCTTGGTTTTTTATTTCTAGTGTTTCCCAGTTGTATTATAGTAAGTTTAAAAACCGCTCTATCTACTGCCTTTCCAACTCAAGTAGCTTTAGTAAATACAACAACTACTTTTGCGTTCTTCTGCGCCCAGGCAGACAGTCTTTCACTTTGTTATATATAAAATTCGATTAAACAAAAATCTCTTTTTAGCTTTTTGTACTGGTTAAAGCAAGTTAAACACAGATTTATAGTTATAACATAACTTAGCTTAGTGTCAAAGTTATGCAAAATTTTTTTCTACAAGTTAGTTTTTCATTATTTAAATATTTTAAATTTAAAAATCTAATTCCATACAATTTTCGAAAAGACTTATAAGAGATACATAAATTTTTGTAGATACATCTTGAAGGTCATCCTTTGTATTATTTTCCCTTGTTTTAAAATTTTAAAGTTTTCAATGTTTACTTTTATTTTTTTTTAAAATTTACTATCAGAGTTTTTACAGCGAAAATGCTTGTTTAAGACGTCACTTTGCCCCGATAGATGCAATCACGAAACTGAATTTTTTACGTTTAAGTTAAAATTGGTAAAAAGTAAAGTAAATAATAATTCCTCCCATTTAAAGGACATTTCCGTTCTTAAGGAAGGTGATAAGGTGAGTCGCACTTTTTTTATCAATTATATTATTTATTATAGCTAATAAGTATTATTGTATTGAAAAAACTTTTCTCTAAACTATTTTTCAAAGTAATATAAGTTAATAAAAATAAATAAAGGAGAAAGTCTTGGTTTGTTTTAATTATTATTTTCATAGAAAATATTTTATTAAAGCTCGCAACTTTTGTTTTTATGCGTGCTCTAAGTAAGCACGGTTTCTAGATTTTTGTTGGGTTTTGTTGGACTAATATCTTTTTATTGCTCCCTGTTTTTTTCTACCAAACTTTATACTCTTCCGTCAACTATCGACTTATATTTACAAAATATTTGCCTTAAGGTTTACTTGTTTTAAATATACCTTTTTTCACGCATCAACTTGTTAAGATTTTTTTTTAGTTTAACAAATTTCGACTTCACTTTTCGCCTTAATTTATTTCTACCTTGTAATAAAAGTTTGTAAAATAAGTATTACATGTACGCTTTTACTTTTTTTTAATAAATAAGCAGCTTGCAAAAAATATTTATAATTTTTTTACTAATAATAATTTATAATAAACATTCCATAATAATAACTAATACTTTATGTCACTACAATACTATTTTTATCCATATATATATAATATATTAATTATTTTATTATATTAAAGCATGCGACTTCTAAAAAAAGCCTTAATAAATATTATGACTTGGCCAAAACTTTGAATCCCGGTAAAAAATAATTAACTATTAATATTATAATATATTAAATTTGTATAATAGGAGATTTGGTCACTCTCAGTTGGGATCACGACTACGTAACAAAGTTTTATTATGATACATCTTGTTCAGCTCCTGAACGACCAGTTAAATTACTTCAAAGATTAAATGCTGAATAAATATTTTACTTATAAAGTTGAGAATTAATTAAATAAGTTTCAGCTTATTTTCAAGGGGATATAATAAACTTTGTTAATGCTCTTTTTTTAACGCATCTTTATACAAGTGTATAGTTAACATTAACACCATAAAAAACTTAGTTAGTGCAAGTACTCCCTGCCAGATTTTAATTTGGATTTCGACAAGGACACTCCTCTACTCAACAACTTTTCGCTTGCAAGAGTGGACGGCCCGGAAATTTAATTTAAGAAGGCAACGAGCGCCGTTTTACTTGATATCGAAAAAGCTTTAGGTCGAGTTTAGCACAAGGACTTGCTCTACGAATTACGCGGCGTAGCCCTTCCTACTTTTCTTTTTAAAGTGATCAAATCTTACCTAGAGGACGGCGTCTTTGGTATACGAGTGGGCTATCCGCTCTCACCCCTAAGACCAATTACAGCCGGGGTCCCACCAAGTTCTCTTTTATCACCCTTACTCTTTGCCACTTTATCTACGCGACGTGCCCCAGCCTTATGACCCCACACACGCGGATGTCACGGCGCTTTACTCCTCGTCAAAGTCACCTGCCCTATTGCGCCAGCATCTGTAGGACTATCTAGTGACCCTTGCCAACTGCTTTCTTCGTTAAAAAATTTCTATTAATGCGGAAAAGAACGCAATCTTTTTTAACACGAAGAAGCGCACTACGCTACTACCGCCGACGACCTTTCAAAATAGGAAGTCCCTCGATGTCCTCAGGCGATGTACCTGAGGGTCTCGTTATCGACATAAAGATCTCGTGGCGGCCGCACGTCAACTATTTCGCGGAGAAGTTCAAGACGGCGGATAAAACTCTTTACTCTTTGCTTTGTGTCCAAAACAAACTCTCGCTGCACAACAAATGTCCCTTGTATTTGTTGTCCATCCCACAGGTCATGGTTTACGCGTCTATTACCTGGGCATAGTCGCCGGCAGTTGTCTCTTCGCTTCAAGTGAGACAAAATAAGCTGCTACACTTTATGACGGGCGCTCTGCGGTTTGTTCGTAACGATACCTTACATAAAGACCTCCACACTGAACCTCTGCGTAACGTTTTTTCACCGCAATGCTATCGCCTATCGCGCAATGGACTGTAAATATATAGTATAGGTTAGGGGTAGAATGATTTTTAATATATATATATAAACATAAGATTGCTTTAACACAAGCTTAAAGTTAGTGTGTAGAATATCACCTTGTTGAGAGCTCCTAAATTCGGTGTTTTCTTTTAAGACCCGATCGAGCACCAGGAAATATAAATAAAATTAATAGATTGCGTTGGCTATATGTATAAGTTGAACGTAACAAATATACTTAAAATAAACAATAATTTCCTACAAGTTTCATGCTTGTTTAATTTATGTATAAGTTGAAAGTAACAATATATCTTAAAATACACTTAATTAGAAGTATAGTTAAGCTTACCTTCTGCATTTAATTTAGAGTTTTTTCAAAATATTTAATCTATCTAAAAATAACAAAACTTTAATAAAGTAGTTTTCCATTCAAAAGAACAGGAAAAGTTAAATCGGTTTACCCATTTTGTGGGGAGCCAGCTCATTATAAAACTATTTTGAAAATTAAAAGTGTAATAAGATTTATAATATAAAATAAGCTCCTTTTATCCAAGGGCTGCTTAAAATTACTGTGACGGGGATACGGAGTTAAAGTTATAAATTTAGAATAATAAAAAGAGCAGGGATATGTTTTATAAAGCAGCTACCTTAGCAAAATTTTATGGAAATTATTATAGTCTCTTATAACTTTAATGTTTGCATTTATGTAACTTGCTATGGACGAACCTGATAATAATTATTGCAGAAAAGACTTAAAAATAATTAGCCCTTTACAAATGTTGTCGATCAAAATTCAATGTGGGCCCCTTCTGAGTTAAAAATATATCGTATGCTGTATAATACAAGAAGTCCCTTCCTCTCAATTTAAAAAAAAGGCAACTTTGCGAACCTTTTTGCCTAATGAAAACCAAAATAAACAGTTATTTTTATTTTTTTAAAATTTTATACAAGTAGACTTCTATAAATTAAAATATTACGCAGTGAAGCTCCAAAACATAACATTAATATTAATATCATTATTGATAATATTAAGAGAGCACTATGTTCTTATAAATTTAGTTAAAGAAATAACTAGTAAGTTTGTGGGCTAAAAAGTATACTGTAAGTAAAAATTTCGTAAATAATAGGTTAGTACCACTAAATATGAGAAGGTAGGATGGTAGTCTCGAACTTAAAATATAATAAAAATGCGCCGTTTATTAATAAGATCTTGCAAATTGCTCCAAAAGTTTACTTTATCGCATTGCTTAAAGTCAAAAACTTGCTATACAAAAAGATCTTTTGTATTTCAATTTTTTACAAATATATATAAACTATAAAGGAAGAGGACTTTATACAAATTTATATTTTATGAAAGAAACTTTAAACTTCTAATTAGTACGAAGCTTAAAATAGAAAAATAAATTTCATCCTTGCCCGCCCCTCCCCTTCCCTCAATTTTTTTTTTCCAAATTTTTTAAACTATAAAACCAGCTGATCCTTGCGCCCACCCCTCTTTCTTGGCCACCTTTTTTTCTTCACATCTCTTTCTGCTTTTAACGCTCTCTAGAAGGCTACCACTCGATGCCAGAGATTATTCATTTGCAAGCTGGTTTAAAGAAAAACGTTTTTCATATTTTTAGTAGTAGAATTATTTTTGAAGAGCGCTTGTCAAAACTTTATAAATTTCAGTCTTTTATAACTTTTTTTCTATTGTTATACGAATTTTTAACGCACTACTTACTTTTTTATATAAATAGGCCAATGCGGCAATCAGATTAGTAATGAGGTTTAACAAAAAATTACTTAGATAGTTTTTTATTTTAAAAAATTAAGCTTTTTGCTTATAGTTTTGGAAAACTATTTCCGAGGAGCACGGCATTCTACCGGATGGAACTTATTGCGGCACGAATCCCAAGCAAAAAGAAAGACTTGATGTTTACTATACTGAAGGCAATAACGGAAAATATGTGCCGAGAGCCATATTAGTAGACTTGGAACCTGGAACAAAGGATACTATAATGGCCGGCCCTTACGGAAATCTTTTCCATCCCAACAACTTCGTCTTTGGACAAGTATATATATATATATATATATGAAATTTACAACTTTTCAATAACTATTACGATTTATATTTTTTTTAGTGTACGAGTAATTGCTTATAATTTTTGTTTAATCTTGCTCAGAATGGCGCTGGTAATAACTGGGCTAAGGGGCACTATACTGAAGGAGCAGAGTTAGTCGATGCCGTTATGGATATCGTTAGAAAGGAAGCGGAGAACACTGATTGTTTGCAAGGATTTCAACTGACTCACTCTCTGGGAGGAGGGACAGGATCAGGTAATAGACTGCCTTTTTTAATTTAATTTTGCTACTATTTTTTTTACAGGCATGGGCACTCTCCTGGTGTCGAAAATCAGAGAAGAATTCCCAGATCGCATGCTTTGTACCTATTCTGTAGTGCCCTCTCCCAAAGTGTCTGACACCGTTGTGGAGCCCTACAACGCCACGCTTTCTCTCCATCAGCTCGTTGAAAACACGGATCAAACGTTCTGCATCGACAATCAAGCACTCTACGACATTTGCAAGAGCACTTTAAAGCTGACGGACCCCTCCTACTCCCAACTAAACAGCCTCGTCTCTAAAGTCATGTCAGGCGTCACCACCTGTCTCCGCTTTCCTGGCCAATTGAACGCTGATCTGCGCAAATTAGCAGTCAACATGGTGCCATTTCCTCGACTGCACTTCTTTATGCCGGGCTTTGCTCCTCTCACTTCTGGCGCGTCGAAGTCTTTCAGAAACATCACTGTTGCGGATCTAACTCAGCAAATTTTCTCTGCCAGCAACATGATGGCTGCTTGCGATCCCGTTCACGGCAAGTATTTGACGGTTGCCGCCATGTTTCGCGGGGCCGTTTCTATGAAGGACGTTGATGAGCAGATGATGAACGTCCAAGCGAAGAATGCCGACCGCTTTGTCTCATGGATTCCCAATAACGTAAAAACAGCGGTGTGCGACATTCCCCCCGTCGATCTAGACATGGCCGTGACTTTTATTGGAAACAGCACAGCCATTCAGGATTTGTTTAAGCGAGTCAACGAGCAGTTTACCGCCATGTTTCGGCGGAAGGCTTACTTGCATTGGTACATCAGCGAGGGCATGGACGAGATGGAATTCACCGAGGCGGAATCCAATATGAACGACCTCATTTCTGAATATCAGCAGTACCAGGATGCCACAGAGGACTACGAGGAGGACGAAGACGAGGACTACAACGAATGAAACCATGCTCTTGTGGTTTTTTTAACTGTTAAGTAGAATCATTTGTTTTAATGTATTGGTAAATTTTCATTTGGTTTATTATAAATGTATATACGAAATAATTATTTTCTTACATGTTTATGCTGAATCCTACTTTTATTATTATTATTATTATTTATACATAACTTTGCCCCATGCGGGGCGTGGGTTCTACTGAAGGAGTGTAATTTTGGGGCGTTGCACTGCGTTTATAGATGCTATCTGTTTCTGTGCGGGTTCACTTTATGCATTTTACTATTATAATTAGTCGCTTGTGAGCTATTAAGTTTCATAAATAAAATAGAATTTAAAAGTTTTTTATTAATGGCTTCTGTGATAACATGGCAAAATCGTTTATTTTAATTATTCTTTTTTTTTAGTAGCAAATTTTATATAAATTGCATTTAGGCTAATATAAATTATCTTTATAGTTTTTTTCAACTTCTTATTTGGTGCTGAAAGGGTTATAACATCGAAGAGAAGAGTTATATATAGTTAGCGGTTCTTATAAAATAGAATTTTTATAATTCATGAAGTTGATCCACTTGCATAAGTTTTAAAACTATTTATACTGTTTTCACAAATATGGAATGGTAGATATAAGTCAGCTTAAAACGAAATCAATCATCATATTGATGGCAGTTTGGCAGTTTCATTCATAAAAAGTATGGATACATTTTTAATCAAAATCGCTAAAGAGAAAAAGTTTATAATATAGAAATTAACAAATTTTAAATATTAGCTTAAAAAATAGATAACCACATCTTAAACTCCTATAGATGGCGATACATAGTAATTTTAGTATTGCGTGCCAGAGCACCACTAATTGCCTCACTTTTTTTAATGGTCACTAAAGGCCATAATAAATTACATATTAAAACTTTAATAAATATTTGTTGATTATAATTTTAACTTAACAAAGTTCATTCTTTTTTGTTACATGCGAGAATAACTGGAAACATAAAGAAATTTACGTTTACGCAATAAATAATTATATTGAACTAATAATAAACGCGTAGTTCGGAAAAGGTATGGTAAAGAAAAACTTGACGCCTGCATTAAAAGACCATTCTTGTAAAAATCAGACCGTGTATATACGATCAATTAATTTTGTAAATTCAGGAATTTTTAAAGTTATTTGGAAAAAAACTTATATTCGTAAAAACTATATATAAACTGTAGTAGGTAAGCGAAAATTTGCGTAAGTAAAATGTTACTAGTTTTATGTCCTTACTATTAATCCCTTTTCCTCTTAAAAGCATCCTCTCTATTTTGCTTACCAACATATTTTACTTTGGGAGAATATTTTGTCAACGTTAAAAATTAAATCCCACTGACTCAAACTTCGGATACGAACTTTTTACGGCAAAAACAAAAAACTCTTGTTACACAACACGTGCGGCAAACTGCAATAAAAACGAACTGCTGCTAGAGAAAGTTTAGTTGCAAATGTGGTGTAAGACGCACTTAAAGGCAGGGCATAAACATGATGGAAACTTCACTATTAAAAAAGGGTCTATACATTTTTTTGGCGCTGAAAATAAGGCTATCTCTTTTTTTAAAACTTAAGAGAGTAAAAAGGAACGGTAAGGTAAGAAGAAATAAAAATTCATATTCCTGACTTTTATTTTTGTTTTTTAAACTAAGAAAATCTGCGTAGACCGTATAGTGGCGGGCATATGAAAACAATACTAACCGGAAGTCATTAAACTTTAATAAGTTTTACCTCTTCAGGGCTTGCATTACACGTAATAGTAATAAAAATTGTAATTTGTAGGTTTATTGGAATAAAAATGTTAGAATCTACACGCTCTTCTGGATCTAAAAGCTCAAAAGCTGTGAAAAGTAGTCTCGGATACAAGCTGGCACAAAAACCGACGGGTGAACTCTCAAGCTACAAACTTTTAACCTAAACTTATTTTATGGAACACTCCCTCCATCCTTAACAAAAACTCAAAGCGCTTCACTTGATGTGGGAGGAGATTAATCCCATTGTTAGTAGTTAACCCCGTCTGCCAGTAGATGATTTGTAAAACTGGCTAATCCTTTTCAAAGGGGCTAACATGACGTGAAAAATCCGATGAGCGAAAACTGTTTTTCTATTTCTCAACTAAGAAAGATATAGGAAAATTCTTAAAAAAATCCGTTTTATTCTTTTTGTCCATGATGTAGACTTGAAAAAACCTAGTAAAAAAATTATGGTTGGGAGTACTTACAAGGAAAATATTATTAAACTATAGTATTATAAAGCATTTCGCCTCACATAATACGGTGCGGTCGGTATCTCAACGCAATAGCTTGTTTTGTCACTTATTTAACGAAATAATCTAGTAAACAGTAGGCCAATGCAACAAAAGCGTTACCTTATGACTAACCAAATATACCAATACATCCAACCAACAATTGTTATGCAGCCGGCTTTGTGATGATTTATAGTTCGATATGATTTTCAAATAGTTAGCTTAAGAATAGCACTGCAGGTCAGCAGTGCGATTCTTCGTAGCAATTAGTGAGTTAATTTTCGCTACGTTTATATAGCCTCCAAGCGCGTTTTGGTAGCACTGCTAACACTAGCACGAGAAGGCTGGCGGTTCAGTGACGGAGTAAATTGTCGTATCACTGGCGCATCAGGCGACTTGGGTGCAAGAATTGACTATAGTTAACTGTAGCTCACGCAGAGCTGCAAAAAGGCAAAGATAAAATAAAGAGAAGAAATCAATACCAAAAACGGCAACATCGAAGGCGACCGTGTCGCAAGTGTGACTTGCAAGTTAAATAAACGAAAGGGGCTCATTTACTACTACAAGGCTAATAAAGAAACTAAACAAAAAAACAAGAAACAAACTAGAGGAAAGAGTTAAAGCCTCTTTATTATAGAAGTAATAACCAAATCCAAACCAATCCATGTAAAAGAACACGAACTTTAACATTGCGATGAAAATTCTTAAACCTACTCGTGCCTCGGTATATAAATGAAAACCTCGTAGTATCTAAGGATATATAGCTCCTAATAGCGGGCGTCTTTAAACTCCGCTGAAAACTTTTCCATTGCCATGAGAGCTGGCCCTATTAGAGGCAAAGAAAGCTCGGAAGTTCCTTTGCATAAGTGTAATGTCCTAAAAGACTACGAAGTATTCCGAAAATTTTAAATCTTCAGTATTTCAAGTATCATCCGGGACATTTTAAAAACTAATGAATACAAAATTTAAACCTAAGTAGACATAACCTTAAATTAATTTTTTCTTTTTTAGTTGTCTAGTGTTGGCTTCTTTATGACTTTTTTAATGTATTTTTAAGTGTAATTTAAATTTTCGACCGTGAAGGTAGTGGTAATCAAGATAGCATGCACCTTCAGCTTTACTTTCTTTAGATGAATCAAATTAGTTGAGACTAATACATTTTTAAATTGTCCATAATTATATTTCCTAAACAAATATTTTTAAGGCTTACCACCTAAAATAAGAGTCTAATACTGTTACGTTAATAATGATACGCCTTTCACTCAGTTATTAAAATTTCATCTTTTACTATTTCCAAATTCTAAGTTCTATTTCTATAAAAAAGCTCTTGTTTAAAAGTCCTCATCTCGCTTGCGCAAAACTTTGACTAAGTTGTATCTTAGCTTCACTCTTGTCTAGGTTTTTGTTATTTTACTTTTTTTTTGGCTTCTTTACTATTAACCTTTAGCTCTCAAAAGTTTAATTGTGGGCGCTTAACATCTAGACTTTAGATCTTAGTTTTAACCAGAGCTGTACAGGTGATAATTCGGTTAAAAATTTTAACAAAAGAGCTGTTTTTGGTGTCTTCTAAAAACTCTTACTATCATCTTTTCAGAGCTATCACAACATTTTCTAATTAAAAAAGCAGGCAGACTAAGTTTTTTATTTCCATGTCATTAACGGCAAGTAACTCTGCATAACAGTAGTGTTTTTGCGGACTTCAAACATAACTTATTCAATGTTAAAATGAAAGGCAAATTACTAAGTTCAAAATTCCATAGAAATTAACGACATTTGCTTTAGCACGGCACTAGCAGTGTCCAAAATAAAAATCTTTGTTAAATAAAAAACAACATCCACTCCTTTTGCATAGCAACAAACGTTTAACCTCGACAAAAAAAATTACTTCGTTAATGTAAGAAAGCGTTTTACTGAGCACATGACTTTTTTACTAACTAGTAGTAAATTTAGTTTTAGTATTTTTTATTAGCTGATGTTATTAATACCTCCGTCTTGGCGTCTTGCTTATTTTTTTTCAAATAAGTTTTGTATAATTTTTTATTATATACCTTATTTTTAAATACACACTAAACTTTCTTTATAACAGCTTTTAGAAATAAAGTAAACTTTTTTAGTTCCGTACTTATGACAGAAGAAAAACTCTGTAATTCTGTTGCGGGGGGTGTAAACTATTTTTTGCTAGATTATTAGATTTATATTTTTACTTTTAATTTTTTATATATTTTAATAAAATAGTTCATGAAGACGAATTGAAAAATCCATGTGAGAGTATAGAAAATGTTCCATTAGGGCTGAAAGTGGAGAAAATTCCAAAAGTTTTATTTTTCATTTATAAATATTGTTATACTTTCTGCTTGTTTATTATATAAATTTTTTTTTTCTCTTTTAACTAACTCACATAGTTTGTAGGTGTGGGTGTACTTAAAAAGTGGGTTAAGAAAAATAAAATTCTTGGAGCAAAAGTTTTGAAGCGTGATAACCAAAATTTTTTCATCTTAAAATTTAATGTAAGTTTATAAATAATAATATTATTTATTTTATAATTTTTTTTTGTTTTTTTAAATATAGTAAAGTGTTCAAAATGCAATTTATAATATTGAAAAAAAAATTTAGGAGAAAATTAACTTATTTATTAGAAAAATTTAACTTTTTTATAATTGTTTTATTTTCTAAATTTAAAAAAGAATTAATAATGTGTATGTTTTGTCAATTTTGTATATTTTTTCAACTTTTAACCATTACATTAACTATTACTAATCTATTTTTTTTTGACTTTATTCGTTAATTTAATTTTATAATAAATTACCAATTTAATTTTAATATTTTTAAGTTTTATGATTAAAAATATTATTAAAAATAATTTTACATTATAATTAATTTTATAATTTATTTTTTTATATTATAAGATTTAATTAATTATATAGTAAATTACTTTTCACTAAATTTTACAAATAATATTAAAAATAAATTTATCTGAAAATTTTCTTATTTAATATTTCATATTTTATTTTATTAGTTAATTTAATTTTATAATAATTAGAATTTACAAATTTAGTTTTTGTTTTTTAAGTTCTTATGTGTTCAGTTATTTGTTTTTATATACTATTAATTAAAAAATCTTATCAAAAAAAATTTTTTTTTTTATATTTTTCTTTTTATTTTTTACGCATTCATAATCAAATTTTATATATATAGTTATTAATAAACTTTAAATTATTATCTAATTATTATTATGACTTTAACTACTTTTTATTACTAATCGTTAAGTTTATTTCTATATAATTTTGATAATTTTAGTTTTTATCTTTTTTAGTTCTGTTGTCGATTTTTACTTATTTTTAAAATTTACTTTTTAATTATTTTTGTAAAAACTTATTTATTTTTTAGACTTGCGAAGATAAACAAAAGGCCAAAGAAAAACTTTTGACTCTAAATTTTAAACGTCAACGTCTAAATGTAAAAGAAATTTTCGTGATTTACTCGAAATCCAAAAAAGTGGATTTTGTTAAGCACAATATAAATTTTTCTGATCAGTTAAATAATAAACTTTGTGGTTTGTGGAGGTTTTTTTTAAATAAATAATTATAATTATAAATTTAATTTTAACTTTTTTATTTTACTTTCTATTATTATTATATTTTATAATTTCTTTTAACTTTATTATTTTTTTGATGCCTTTAAAGAAAATATATTTTATTATTAATATTATTATTTTTAAATTATTTTGTGAAAGTATTTTTACTTTTTTTACTTTTTATTATTACAGTTTATAATCTACAACTTTTATTGCTTTTTGTTAAAGTCAATTTTTTTATTTTTTTATTCTTTGTTAAATATATTAATATTAGACACACTTATGCAGAGCAGGTGGAGATAAAAAGTTCGGAAGTAGATAAATATATGAAGAGTTTGGCTTTAGAAATGAAGCTGAAAAAGTATTTTACTCATATTATTATATATTTATTATTATCATTTATTTACTTAAATATTTTTTTATTATTATTTTTTATATATTCTTACTAATATATTTTTTATTAATATCTATTTATTATATATATTTTATTATTATTAATATATATTTTTGTTATTATTTATTTTTTATATATATTTTATTATTTTTTTTTTTAACCATTTTCTTATTATTTTGATATTTTTTTATTATTACTTATTTTTTTTTTTAAATTTTATATTATTAATATATTTTTTATTATTTATTTTTTAATATCTTTATATTATTATCATTTTATTATTATTATTATAACTATATTTTTATATTGTTATTTATTTATTTTTAATTATCTGTATATCATTAATATATTTACTATTTTTATTTAATTTTTAAACTCTTTAATTATTATTTATCATTTTAAATTTTCTATTTTTAATATAGTTTTATAATTTTCTTTAAATATTCTTTTATTATTTATTTTTATTAATAATAATTATTATATATTTTTCATTCGAATCTTTTATATTTTATTTTTTTTTATTATATATTTTTTTAAAAACTTTTATTTTTTACTTTTCTGTGTTTAGAATGTTTTTGTCTGCAAAATTTTTTGAAACATTTTTTATTAATATTTACTTCTCCTATTTTATAATTTTTTAAAATGATACATATTTTATATACTTTTCTTCCTTTTTGTTTTAAAATTTTTTATATATAAAATATTTTGAAACTTTTCTTGTTATTACTTACCTTCTCTGTTAGTATATTTTATATTAAATAATTCTTTTAAAATTTTTATTTTTTACTTTTCTGTGTTTTAATTTTTTTTTTATTTACAAAATTATTGAAAATTTTATTATTATTATTTACTTTTCTGTATTTTATTTTTTTTTATATATAAATTTATTAAAACTTTTTTTTTCACTTTTTTGTTTGTTTGAAAAATTTTATAACTATTTTTTTATATGTATATTCTTATTAATATATATTTTATACAATTTTTTGAAAAATATATTTTTTTTCTTTTTTGTTTTAAAATATTATTTTTATTATTCTATTAATATTTATTTTTTATATATATATAAAAAAATCTTTTATACTTTCCTGGGTTTAAAAAATTTTTTTACATTAAATTTTTTGAAAACTTTTTTATTATTATAATATAAATATAAATATCTTATTTTGTATATTTTTAGAAAATTATTTTTTTACTTTTTTGTTTTATTATTATATATATATTTAAAAAAGAAAAATTTAAATATTTATTTTATTTATTACTTTCTGAAATCTTTTTTGTTTGAAATTTATTATAAAAATTTTTTATACTAAAGACACTGATTAATAAATTTTTATTATATAAAAAATTCATTATAAATAAATAATAAAGTTTAATGTTTTTATATTTTTTTTTTTACTTTTTCTTAAAATTTTTTATTAAAGAAATATAATAAAAAAAAATATGATTATAATTTTTTTCATTTAAAAATAATTTTTTGTTAGAAATTTTATTTTTATATTTTATAAAGAATAACATCTATAAAATTTTTAATAAAATAATTTTTTATAATAAAAATATACTGTCTTTTATATTTACTATTTTTTTATTTTTTACTTCTTTTTGTTGCTCAATATATTTTTATTTCATATTTTTTACATCCATTTCTATTTTCATTAAAAAATAATAATTCCTATAAAACTTATAAAAAAAATTATTAAATTTGGTTAAAAAAGTTGTTTATTACTTTTTCACATGTATTATTTTTATTTATTATGAAAAATTACATTTTTTACAAAAATTTTGTTAAATATAAAAGTTTTTAAAGTAATTTTTTTTATTGTTTTGCGAAATAATATTTTATTTAAAATTTATAATGAATTTTTTCATTAGAAATAAAATTATTTTTGTTATTTCATATCTTTTACACCATTTATTATTAATCTCAAAAATTTAATAAGTCATAATTTAGTATAATTTTTTTTGTTTTCATTATTATGATTACACAATTCTAAGAGACTTAATGAACTTAAAATCGCCAATTATCGAATCCCCCAACATTTGGGGTTACCGGAACAAATGCGAGTTTGCTTGTGGCCTAAACGGGCAAGTTGGGTTTTATTTGGGTCGGAATGAGGACGGAACTGTGGAAATTGTGGTACTCTGCGCCTACTTTGTATTATTATTAAATTTTTTTGGAAAATAATTTACTACAAACTCTTTTTTATATATATAAAGTTTTATTTTTTTATGTATACTTTTCCTTATTGTTAATGCCTTTTTTTATTTTTTTATTGTATAATATTTTATATAATAAACTTTTACTATATATAATAATTAATTTATTGAAATTGTTTTTATTTAGAGTGGAAAGGACTGTCCACATGTTTCTGAGCTCATGAAAAAGATTGCTTTAAACTTCCAGGTTTTTGATAATGTTATTATTGTGGAAATTATAATAACAACAATAATAGTAATAATAATAATTATAGTAGTAATAATATTGATAGCAATTTTACAATTTTTTTATATTAAAATTTATAAAAAATTTTTGTATGTATTAAACTTTTCTAATATTTTATAAAACTTCTTATTTTTTATGATATTTTATTAATTATTAATTTTGAATTCCAAATAATTTTATTTATTTTATTGATTATAAATTTTAACGCTGCATTTTGCCTTTATATATTGTTAAACGCTTACAGTTTGTATCTTTGACATTTATTTAAAGTCAATAATAATAACGTAAAGCGAACGTTTTACTTTTATATAACTTCATTATTATATAACAAAACGATTAGGAATTTTTGGCGACCTTGCCTTTTCACGGTTACGATTCGTTGAAAGAAGAAGGACACTTTAGACAACTCGTCCTTCGCACTTCCCAAAGGGGTGAAGGTATTCCTAAAAAAAATTTCTAAACCCCATTTTCACCGCTTTTTGGAGTATATCCTGATTAACTAATGCGTACTTGCGTGTTGCTATTTCCGAAACTTTCATTGATTACTTTGAATTATTGTTACTGCGCATTTAGTTGGACCTCAATTAATTTTTTTACAGCAATTAAAAAAAACTTTGTGAACCGGAATCAAATAATAGTTGAATCATTATATCTTAATTTTTTTGTGGCAGTTTTTTCCAAATATATCTTATTTCCATCCCCGAATTTTTTTATTTAGTAATGGCGCTAGTACAATTCCACCCCCAACAACTTTCTAGCGAAGAAATTAGTGAAGCTTGTGCGGCCGTATACAATTTTTACCAGAATTTATGCTTAAATGAACGCATAAAACTTTCTTGTGGTTTCTTTCAAGTTATTATTTTCATTTGTTACCATTATATTTATTATTAATAACTTTGTATATTTATTATTATCCTCATAAAAGCTTTATTCAAAAAGAACTGTTGGTATATTCCCTGACGATCCTATTGAACTCATTTACGGCGACTCTCCCTATATATATGAATCGTTATTAAATTTAACGTAAATATTATTCCTGTACTTTTCTTTTTCTTTAATGGTTAATATATATTTTCCTAGTTTTCGCATCTCGATAACTTCATTTTTTCAAGTAAACGTTCCTGCCACTGAGAAATTGTAATGATAATAATAATAATAACATTATTAATAATAATACAAATAATTTGTAAAGATACAAACTAATAGAGGATTGGTGCGGATTATCCGAAAGTTCTGTCTTATTGGACATCTGCTGCGGCACAGGCACCATTGGCCTTTCTCTGTCCTCCAAAGTCCCAAAAGTTATTGGCTTAGAGCTTGTTCAATCCGGTTTTGTTGTCTTGTCCTTTTTTAACGATGGCCTGGTCACGTGGTTTCTTTGTATTGATAAGCCGTTAACGATGCCAACTTCAACGCTTCCTTAAATGGTATCAACAACGTGGAATTTTTTTGTGGGCATGCGGAAGCCACCTTGCCGCGTGTTTTGGACAAGTACGCCTCCGTATCTGATTGCGTCGGCGTGGTCGATCCCCCTCGCGCGGGTTTACGTACGTTTTTTTTATAGTAGATTTTTTTTTAATGGTTTAAATTATTTAATATATTTTTTGAATCATTAAAAATATTTCAGTTTTAATCGAGATTTTCTCATTCTTTTTTCAAATTTGTTTAATTTGGTATAAATTTTTTTATAAAGATTTTCATTAATTTTGAACTTTTAGAAATTTATTTTTAATTTGTTTTTATTTTTTTAAAGATCCCTCACTTTTCGCAAAAGTATTATTAATTTATTTAAATTGAATTAAAAATAATTCCTTTTTATTCGGGCTTTTAGAAATTTTTTTTATAAGTTGTGTAAATTTAATTTAATCAAATTTTATTTAAAATTAATTATTTTTAAAAAGATTTTTTTTAGCTAAACTTTTCGCTCGTTTTTTTTTTTTAATTTGTTAAATTCATTTTATATATATTTAAAATATTTTTATTTTATTTATATGAGTTTTTAATTTGTTTAAAATAATTAACTTTACTTTCCATTTCATTAAAATTATTCTTATAATAAAAATTTATTTATTTGCACTTTTCGCGAAAGACTTTTATTCTATTTTTTAATTAAAATAAATTAAATTATTTTTATATAATTTAAATTATTAAAATTTTTTCAAAGATCCATTACTGATTCGAGCCTTTTGCAAAAGTTTTATTTTTTTTATTTTGTTTGGTCTAAATTAAATTAATTTTTCTCTTAAACTTCTAAATAATCTTTCATTATTCGAGCTCTTCTTAAAAGTTTTTTTTTCAATTTATATTAATTTTTTATACCAAAAGATTTGTTACTGATACGCGCTTTTCGCAAATATTTATTGCTGTTTAATTTGTTTAAATAATTTTAATTTAATTTTTTAAATTAAAATTTTCGAGCTTTTTGCAAAACTTTCATTTTTGTTAATAGTAGTTAATTATGAATTATTATTTTAATTATTTTTGATTTTTTTAAAGCTTCATTACGAATTCGGGCTTTTCGGAGAATTTTCTTTTTACCTTATGTAGATAACTTTAACATTTCGCAGAACTTTTTATTACATTTTTTTTAAATGTTAATTTTTTCCAAAGATCCCTCCTTAATCCGAGCATTTCGCAAAAGTTCCTTAAAAAAATTGATTTATGTTTCTTGTGATTATAAGCAGGCGAAGTCTAACTTTATAAAGTAAATTTAAATTAATTTCTAATTTTATAAACTTTTTTTTTTATATTAAATTTCTAATAGCCTTTGCAAAGAAGATGGAGGCGCTCCGCCTTTTGAGCTAAAAAAATATTGCGCTGTAGATCTTTTCCCGCACACTCACCATACTGAGTTGGTGCTCCTTTTTGAACGTAATTAAAAAAAAATTTTATAGTGGGAAGAACATAAATTTTTTATAAAAGAATTAAATTTCTGATTTTTTTATTTGGAAATTTTATTTTCAAGTTCTAAATGGTTCTAATCTTCTACACTAAAAATATATATTAATACGAAATCTGTTTTAGTTTTTATTTTGAGAAATACTTTTTTTCTTGTTTTTAAATTTTAATTGAATTTAATTTTTTTGGTTAAGGAATATATTATTGTATTGTATCTGAATCAGTTTTTTATTAAAAATAAATGTTTTCTTGATTATAAAAAATAGTTGAATTATTTTTTCGATTCAAATCTATTTTTCCATATAATCTTATTTTGTTTTTATTTTAAAAAAATTATTTATTTATTTATTTATAAATGAATTAAATATTTTCGGTACAAAATGTATTTATATAGAAAATCTGACTTAATTTTTTATTAAAAAAAAATTTCTTTTGATTATACTATAAATGTATTAAATTTCCTTGATACAAATTTTATATTTATATTGTTTTTATTTTAAAATTCAAAAAAATTAACTTTTATATAAAATCTGATTTTTTATGCTAAATTTTTAGAATAAAATAAATTTTTGATTTAATGTATAAATTGAAAAAAAAATAATTATCTCACCATATTGAGTAGAGCTTTTTCTAAAAGGAAAGAAATATAAAACTTTTTAATAGAAAGATTATAATTTTTTATAATAAATAAAACTTATATATTTTTTATTTATTTAAAAAAAATTTCTTAAAGATTATAAATTTTAATAATTTTTATTTTTAAATGAAATATATAATATAAGTTAAAATTTTTATTTAAAGTAATAATTTTTCTTTTTTTTAATTTATATTGAAAAAAATAAATTTATGATTCTAAATTTTATTTAAAAAAAAAATTTCTGATTTACTTTTTTAATTTTTAAAAAAAATTTTATAAATATTTTTAGTTAAATAAATTTTTTAAAAGTAAAATTTCTGGTTAATTATTACTTTTAAATTTTATTTGTGATTTTAAAATTTTTATAATTAATTAACTTATCTAATTTTTTATTTTTTTACCTTCCTCCACGGCTTGTTCAATCTTAAGGCTTTTTACTACTCTGTTTGCTATTTTTTTCTACTAAATTTAATTTATAGGAACTTTGTAGTTCGTTACTAGTTTTTAAAAATTTTATTATTTAATTAAGTTGTTTTATTATTATATTCTACATATATACTTGATTAGGAATTTATATAACGAAGTTTCATTACCTACAAAATAATTACGATCATAATTTTTTTTTAGATGATCTGTACTTTTCCTTTATCTTTAAACCGAGTAATTAAAGTTTTGCTTAAAAAAGATCAAAATTTCTAATAGTCACCACTTGATAAGAAAGGAAGATTTTATAATTTTTTTCATTGCTCATTTGTTTATTTTTTTAAAAAATAATTAATTGTTTAATTTTTATCTTAAAGTATATATACCGCTTCTTTGTACTATGTTAAGGCTTTGCATAAAGTAAAGATGGACGAGATTAGCTACACTATGAAACTATATTTTCATTTATCACTATTTTTCTATTATACTCGTTATCCTTCTATAAGACTCTATTTTAGTTATAAATTTTAGACTATTATATAATCTTTTATATACTATGAAAAAGTAGATTTATTATTTATTTTTTATCTCCAGTACAATAAAATTTCTAGTTAAAATAGAGATACTTTGCCACCTTTTCAAGTAATTAAAGTTGATGACTTATCCAAAAAAAATAAATTTTAAGCATAAATACAGCACGATTACTTTGGCTTTAAGAAAAAAGAAGCAACTTTTTTTTTATAGTTTTGAGCTACAACACCGTTAGCAAGAAAATCAAATTCATAGCAACTGTTACTGCCTTCAATTTTTTTTTTCTGTATAATTTAAGACAGTAATTATCGAGTTTGTTGATTTCACTAGTCTTAAGCCTAAAAGCTAATATATATGGTAAACTATAAATTACATAATACATTAATAAAGTATGTTATAAGCATGAAGTTACTATAGTATAGGAATTATTTAAGACTTCAAAGTAATAACTTATTTTATAAGATTAAAAATAAAATCTCCTGGTAAGCACCGCTCCCAAAGCGAAAACCATTATTAATTAAAAAAATCCTCATCGCACGCCATCATATATGTACATTCAACATCTAGCCCTCTAGGGTTTTGCCCTTGGGTTTACAAAAAAAATATTGAAATTAGCGGTAAAGAAACACTACTCGCCCTTTTTTAGTAGACTGATAATAGCATAGTGCTAGAGTCGTGAATTTTATATTGGCTCGATTGGGACTTGAAATGATATTATGTATTATTGCAAAAGATCTTAATTTTTTTTTTTATGCTTGAATTGAACTTACTATTACTTAAAATTTTCAGCGATACTCGAGAAATTTATTTTTATTGCTTAAAAAAATAGTTTAGAATACCGATTATTATTGGTAACGCGAATCTAAATTTTTTGGTTAGATACACGGTTGGAGTACTTAATAGTCTCATAGTAGATAATATGTTAGATTACTACTAATAACTGATGCAAAAGAATCTAAATTCTTATTACTGCTTGAAAAATACTTTAGAATACCGATAATAAATTACGCGATATTAAATTTCTTGCGTAGATGGAAAGCCGGAGTACTTATAATAATTGATACGTCACGTTACTACCGATAATATTGTTAAAGAATCTACAATATATTTATTGCTTGTACAATACTTTAGAATACCGATTATAAATAGTAACGTGTTTCTAATTTAATTTTGATGAAAATTTTGTGTTAGTTATTAAAATTGATACGTCAGGTTAATACTAACATTTTATAAAGCAAAAGAATTTAACTTATTTTTATTGCTTGATAAGAACTTTAGAATAAGGCTAAAAAAAAATTACACGATATATTCTAAAATTATATCTAATGCTTAATTGACGCTAAGGATTACTTATTAATAACACTAAAGTCTTATTTTTACTTATTGCTCGGCTGGAACTTTAATTTACTACTAGTATATAGTATCGTAAAAGATTTTTTTAAAATTTATTTATTGCTTGAATGGCCTTATTAATTATTAATATTGCTAAAGGATCTAAATTAAAATTTATTGCTTAGAAATGATTATAATTACAGATAATTTATGATATATAATATTAACGAGTCTAAATAGTAATTAATTCCATGACTTTGGCTATAAATTACCTTTAGTTAATAATACAAAAAAAATCTAATTTTTACTACTTTGTGCTTTAAAAAATTTACTCGTCAAGAATGTCTCCGTCTTATAATAAATAAAAAACTAAAGAGTCTAATTTATATAAAATGTTTAACTATAACCCTAAATTATTTACGATTAATAACTACAAATAATTTAAATATTTTATGCTTCACTGAATTCATTCGTCAAGAATGTCTTCTTCGTCTTATAATAAAAAATAATATAAGCATCTAAATTTCTATTGAATGCTTCACTGAAATCTGTTGGTCGAGAATGTCCTCGTTTTATGATTAATAATAACACTAAAGAGTTTAAGTTAATAATAATAAAATAAAGGACATGAATCTAAATTTTTATTATTTGCTTCAAAGAAATTTTCGTCATGAATTTGTTCCTTGTCTTATTATATCTAATGTAATATTACTTAAGGGTTTAAATATATTGTAATAAATAACAATACAAAAGGATTTAAATTTTTATTTAGAGCTCAGTGAAAATTATTTGTCAGGGATATCTCCCTCTTATTATAAATGATAAAGAGTTTAAAAAATTTACTCATAATAATAGCAATACAAAGGAATCTAAAACTTTTATTTAAAGGTCTATGAGAATTATTCGTCAAGAATTACTTCCTCGTCTTCCTCGTAATCGTTAGTAGCCTCCTGATATTGCTGATACTCCGATATGAGATCATTCATATTTGACTCCGCCTCGGTAAATTCCATCTCGTCCATTCCTTCGTTGGTGTACCAGTGCAGATACGCTTTTCTACGGAACATGGCGCTGAACTGCTCACTTACTCTCTTGAAAACCTCCTGAATAGCAGTGCTATTGCCTATAAAAGTGGCGGCCAAGTCGTGCTTAATGGGCGGGATGTCGCAAACGGCCGTCTTAACGTTATTCGGAATCCAGTCTACAAATAAACTGCGACGCTTGTTTTGCACGTCTAAAAGTTGCTGGTCGATTTCTTTCATGGAAATACACCCGCGAAACACCGCAGCGACGGTCAAGTACTTTCCGTGCGCCGGATCGCAAGCAGCCATCATATTATTGGCTGAAAACATCTGCTGCACTAAATCAGAAACCGTAACATTTCGGAAAGACTGGGAAGCGCCCGACGTTAAAGGCGCAAAGCCGGTCATAAAAAAGTGCAGACGCGGAAATGGCACCATATTTACAGCTAGTTTGCGCAGATCAGCATTTAATTGGCCAGGAAAACGGAGACAGGTGGTGACTCCGGACATCACGTTCGAAATGAGCGCGTTTAAATCCGCATAAGAAGGATCCGCTTGTCTTAATGTGTTCCTGCAAATCTCGTAGAGCGCCTGATTGTCGATGCAAAAAGTCTGATCGGTGAATTCGACGAGCTGGTGCACCGAAAGAGTGGCGTTGTAGGGCTCTACCACCGTGTCAGAAACACGTGGCGAAGGCACCACTGAGTAAGTGCATAGCATGCGATCCGGATACTCTTCGCGAATTTTCGAAATCAGCAACGTGCCCAGTCCTTTGAAAAAAGTTAAAAAAAAATTCAAAATTCAAAATCCAAGAGCATGAGATTCAGACCGGAGCCTGTGCCTCCACCTAGAGAATGACACAACTGGAAGCCTTGCAAGCAGTCCGCGTTTTCTGCTTCCTTACGAATAATTTCTAAGACATGATCAACGAGTTCGGCCCCTTCAGTGTAGTATCCTTTAGCCCAGTTGTTCCCAGCTCCAGACTGTAGTAGAGTTTATGAGAACTTTTGAGAAAAAAAATATTTGGAAAAAAGATTTAAAAGAATATTTATAGTATATTAAAAGAAAGAATGGATATAGAGTATATTATAAGAAAAGTAATAATAATAATTAAAAGTTATACGCATATAAAATTACTTCCCAAAGACGATAAATAAAATATATAAAAGGAAATATTATCTAATATAACAATAATAATAACGTATATAAGTTTTTAGATAAATGTTAAGAAAAATTTCTAGTATATTAAACAAAGTTTAGAATAAAGCATAAATATTATAGTAATAATACTTAATAAAAGTTATATATGTATAAATCATACTTCCAAAAAAAAACAGATAATTATTTTAAAAAAAGGAATGAATTTTTAATATTAAAAATATTTTAGATATAATAATAAACTTAATACATATATATCAGGAGCTTACTTGCTCAGAGACGATAAATATATTTGAAAAGTAAATAAGTTTGAATATAAATATATTCTAAATATATTAATAATAAAAATATATAAAGGTATCAAATGAAATTTATGTATATAGAAGTCTTACTTGTCCCGAGACGATATTATCGGGATGAAATAAGTTTCCATATTTTCCCGTTTTTACAAGATCCATAGTACCTTCACGCAAATAATAATATTGAAAAAAATATAATTCAGGTTTAAAATTGAAATGATAATTTATTCGGAATATTGTATTTAATATAATTTTAATTAAAAATTATTAAATTATTAATTCATAATTTAAAATATATTAAATTAAATCAGCTTATATTAAATATTTATTTCATATAATAATATTCACGTAATTTTATTATAATAATTGCATATAATCTATTATAGTGAGTAAAACCTGGCTCAAGGTCAACTAGCACCGCACGGGGGACCCACTTATTATCCATTCCTCGACTGTAGTAAACATCCAAACGATCTCTTTGAAGTTGCGTTCCTAAAAAAGAACCATCTTCTTGGATTCCGTGCTCTTTAGAAATTGTTTCCCAGAACTTATAAACGTTAAGGGTGCTACAAGAAAACATAGAAAAAAAGTTAAAATTTTACCTCATTGCTAATTTGATTACCACACTGACCAGCTTGAATATGTATAATTTCTGGCATTTGTTACTACTAAGTAATGAAAAGGATGTAAGAGAGAAAAAATTTGTTTGTTTTAAAAAAACCAGAGAATGAAAAAAGCCAAATTAAATAGTAATAATCATATATAAGAATTTAGAAAGAAACTATACGTAGTAAAGTTAGGTAAAGTTAAAAAAAAAGGCGTATTTACAAAAGATTTTATTATAAAATGCTTTAAAGTTTAAAAAATAGCTACATAAATAATGAATCTAAAAATATAAGTATTGAAAATAAGTAAAAGCAAAAAAAAGGTGGTGGCTCATGATTGCAAAACTTTTACTATATATTGCTTCTAACAATAGTTTACGTTGATCTGCCCTAACCTTCTTTATTACTTAATTAAAATTTAGTATTTACAGTTTCCATTAAATAATCCGCATAGGTAAAAATTTTTTGATAAATATTGCCTTTATCTCGAAAACAGAGGTCAGTAAAGCTCGAGCAGAAGAGTTCAAAAAAAAAAATTCTAAAACAGTAGAAAAAGGGCAACCGTAAAGGGATCTTCATCGTGGACTGTTTCGAATTTTTTTACTTTCCAACCGTTTTCATGCTAGTTAAGGGTTTGCACACGTTATTAAGATTTTTACTTCATTGATTTCTTGTTCCAATTATATTAGCATTGCTTAGGAAATGTATTTGAATAACTTCTATTCTCTAAAAGAGGGCAGAGAGTGCATATACTCAACTTGTTAATAATGTATTAGTAATATCAGCAGGAATTTTGCTTTCCGTTTTCTTGCTATTATATATATTCTTTAATGGTAAAGCCAGTATATTGTTAAAATTGTAGCTTTTTTTTTAAAGCTAAGATAAATAATTAATTATAATATTTTACGTTTTTTATTGAAAAGATAATTCTCGGCAAAGTCTAATGCGCAATTAATTAACTATTTATATCTGTTTTTTTTAAATAATAATAAACAACCAAAAGGGTTCAAGGCATTACGAGTGTTTTTTAATGGTTAAAAGCTCGAGTTATTACTACCTATTATTCAAAGATGCCGAGTTTAATAGAGTTAAGTTTGCCGTAAGAAACCTAAACTTGATACTAGCCCCCCATTATGAGCATTATAAATAGCAGTAATAATTAACATAAATTCGTTACTGCTAAAATAAAAAATAATAATAATAATTAATATATATTATTATTAATATAAACAATTATAATATAAAAATATAATATTATTATCAATATATATTTGAACAATATAAAATGAATAATTATACAATTTTCTAAAACTATTTGTAATAATTTATAGAGATAACAATTTCTTTATCTGGAAAACGTTTCGACCACTCACCACTCTTTTATAATCTTGCTATGATTTTTTTTGAATAATTGTTTATCATGTATAATAAATTTTAAGTATATATAAATAAGATATACTGAAGTCGTATAGGTTTATAAAACTATTATTTTTTTATTTTTTTATTTTTTTATTAATTACGCTCGTTACTTAGCAACAAGTATATAAGTTAAATACTCAAAATGCCTGAAATACTCCACCTCCAAGTGGGTCAATGTGGAAACCAAATAAGCACTGAGGTAAACTTGCGACCTATAATAAGTATAGCATGACCATCTCTAGTTTTTTTTAAATGTTATGGAGATTTAAAAAAAAAAAAGTAACAATGTAAATATAAGTTCTGGAAAACGATATCCCAGGAACATGGAATTCAGGAAGATGGAACTTTTACAGGTAATTCTTGCCAAAAAGAAAGGTTAGATGTCTATTTCAATCCTGGAAGAAACAATAAGTGGGTCCCACGAGCTGTATTAGTGGACTTGGAACCAGGTTATTAAAACAGTTAATATATTTTCTTTTTCTCTTTCTTTACATGAACAACTTCTATTTACTAATATACTAAATCTTCTTCGGATACAAAAAATTGTGTTTGTTATAATATTTTATTAAATATTCTTGTATAATAACTAAAATAGGGACGACTGACGTAATAAAACAAAGTAAGTACGGAACACTTTTTCATCCAGACAACATTGTTTGTGGCGAGGTAAATTTATTTTTAAAATTAATTATATTGCTCCTTTTATTTTCTCCTAAAGAACTTTATCTAAAATTCAACTTGAGCTTAAATGCTCGTCGTAAAATTTCCACCCTCTAAAATATAAAATATAAGTTTAATATTTCTACGGCAAAGTTAACTTAAGTGCAAAATATTAATTCCAAGTAAGCTTTCCTTATCTTCTGTTACTTTACAAGTAAATATCTGTGGGCATACATTTTTATACGAAATCTTAGAAAATCTTTTAGTGCAAGCTCTCTGTATGATCCCTATTTTAGATTGATAATTGAACCATTTTAAATTATAAAAAAAAGAACAATTTTTTCATTCCAATAAAATCTTTTGTTATAAATTTTTATAAATTTATAGAATTTGCCCCTCGAAAAAAAATCTTTAAGGATATAAAGTAAGCATATAATTTCATGAAGTAGGAAATATTTTTACTTAACATACGTTTTCCTTCCTTGACTAGTAAAATTTGCAAAGCAAATGCTCAATTGCTTTATTTTTTGTCAATCTTGACAAATCGTGATAAAACGCACAGATTGTTCTTTTCCTATTATCCTCCCTCCCCTAAGATAGCCATAAGTTGTCCTTCATGTTTTTCTTAAGTTGAAAACAAAAGTAGCTTTTTATGAAATTAGGCGAAAATTTTTTTAAATTTGATAAACTAGTTGAACTTATTATCCTTGCTAGTCTGGAGCAGGGAACAACTGGGCGAAAGGCTTCTATACAGAAGGCGCTGAACTAGCAGAGAGCGTTTTGGAAGTTATTCGCAAGGAAACGGAACGGACGGAGTGCTTGCAAGGCTTTCAACTTACCCACTCTTTAGGCGGTGGAACTGGTTCAGGTCAAAGTGCATTAATTTTTGTTAAAGTTTATTTAAAAAGGAAGGTAAACTGTAAACTAACGGCGTTAGAGTAAAAGAAAGTTTGTATTTCAGCTTAATTAGTTTATGTAAAGGCGATATTTTCTACTAGTACTATGTAGTTAAAGCTTCTAACATATGAGTCTTTAAATTAAAAAAATATATATTTGTGCTTAGCCTATCCTTCGTATATTTAATTTTGCAACTAATTTATATTATTTTTAACCATATACAGGCCTTGGAACTTTATTGCTTTCCAAAATATGTGAAGAATATCCTGATCGCATGATGTGCACTTACTCTATAGTGCCTTCGCTTCAAAATTCCGACACTGTCGTTGAGCCATACAATTCTGCTTTTTCCATGCATCAGTTGATTGAGCATTCCAATCAGACAATTTGTTTAGACAATCAAGCGCTGTACAACATTTGCACCAAAACACTTAAACTTTCCAGCCCCAGTTTTGCTAATATGAACGAGCTGATTTCTAAAGTAATGTCCGGGGTCACCACTTGCTTGCGCTTTCCCGGCCAGCTAAATGCCGACCTACGTAAGTTGGCAGTCAACATGGTACCTTTTCCCCGGCTTCATTTTTTGCTGTGCGGCCACGCTCCTTTGCTTTCGAGCAGTTCTAGATCATTTGAGAATGTAACTGTTTTTGACCTGTTGCAGCAACTCTTTAACGCTGACAATATGATGGTTGCCTGTAACCCGACCCAAGGAAAGTACCTTACCGTAGCGGCTATGTTTCGTGGTAAGATGCCCATGACAGTAGCTGAAGAGCGTCTTCTTGAAATTCAAAAGAAACAGGCGGACAACTTTGTATACTGGATTCCAAATAACGTTAAAACTGCGTTTTGTGATGTAAATCCTTTAAATGAATTGATGGCAGCTACTTTCCTTGGAAACAGTACATCGCTACAAAGCCTCTTTATCAGACTTAAAGATCAGTTTTCAGCAATGTTTAAAAGGAAAGCTTATATACATTGGTACACTAATGAAGGTATGGATGAGATGGAATTCACGGAAGCAGAAGAAAATATTATTGACTTAATTTCGGAGTATCAACAATATGAAAGAGCTGATGATAACTGTAGTGAAGAGGAATAAAATGTTTTGTTTTGGGAAAATAATATGAAATTTTACGCCGAAATGTGATCAAAATTTAAGAAATTTTAACTTGTATAACTTTATTTTTTGAGAAAGTAGTCTTTATATATACTAATATATGATTAGTATATAACTTCCATTTATAGAACCTGGCTTAGAAGTTAATTAAATTTATAGTTTAAGTATTTGTGGACCAGCTTTCCATACTAGTTAATATTAAAACCAGCAACTAGGAGCCTTTCCTCATAGTAACGTCGATATTAGCAACCTTTACATATAATAACTGCTTAAATTATTCTCTGAAAGCTTAGAGTAACTACCTTTTAAAGATGTATAAAACTAAACTTACGAAATACATAAGCAAGTCAACTTTAGTAACTTTCACATCACATATATGAAAAAAAATTCACTAACCCGTAAAGTTATCGTATAGTTTAAGCTAAGGAGCTCAAGTGTGTTTACTACAAAACCTTGTTCATAATAGTAAATCTTCTAAATAATATAATAAAATGCAAGGTAACTTGAAAATTTTCTTCCTTACGTGATAAATACTAGGTTGTGTCAAACTGTGTCCACACTATTAGCAATATTGGATTACAATTATTATATATAATTTTATCATGAAAATGTAGACTTACTTTAATTGGTCTAAAAAAAATAAAATCTAATAAATTTCTGAGTTTTAAAATTCTAAAGTGGCAGGTACAGAAACTAAACTTTATTACAAAACTAGCGAAGTAAATCCCCCTTAAGTTGTGATATGTGTGTTTACACTTGCAAGTTTAGAACTAAAAACAAGCAAGTAACAGTATATAGTAAAATTTAACAATATTTATTATGGCACACTCGCAACGTCATATATAGAGTGCCTTTCTAAATGGGACAAGCATTCCTTTAAAAAGATTGTAAATGTAAATAAGGTGAAAGTAATAGTAAACATTTGATAGCTTCTTTCTAACACACTATGTGTATTATAATATTTTGTTATTAGTATTAAAAAATGCATTATCTCTTACTATTGTAAATAATTATATGTTCAATAGTCTAAGTTGTATGTAAAGGGCTTGTTGTTCAGTAGACCTTTCTTTGGTTACTTACCAGCAAAAATATAAACATTACACAATTATAACTTAATAATTACAGGATTTTTGATTTAAAATAGTTTTAAAAAATTCTTTAACTCATTAGAAGGTATATTAGGATTGCGTAAAGAGGTTTCTTACATGACATAATAATTTATGCTTTTAATGTTACTTCGTTTATTTCTGGGTCTTTCACTAATCATAAATTGTACTCCTTCACTTTTCATCTAAACTATTGTATATAATTTTAAAGACAAACCTAATTGTTTAACGGTTTAAAAAATTTTAGAAAAAATTTTTAAGATTAATAACAGGCAACTCACGAGAAATGTGAGAAAATATCAGTTATTTTCTTACTGAAGAAATTTTGCTCAGCAGGTAAAATACGGCTAAATTGTAACTTTTCGTTTCGAACCTAACACCCGTAAGCTTTAAAAACTTCATCCTCTCATAATCCTTAATAAAAGAGATGCCACCCTAATGAAAATAACTTTAACAGAAGCAACTCCCTGGGCACCCACTTACCACTATTAGTTGGTGGGTATCCTTCATAGTCTGTAAACATTGAATTTTTAGTGTTGGTTTAGTTTAGTGAGAATTAAATTAATAAAAATAGCAAAGAGGCATAATACAAATATATTTACTTCCAAATTTAAAACTTAATTATAAATATACATTGGTTTCATAGATCTAACTACGATGAATATCTATGAACTATAAGCAAAACTTTTTATTAAGTTAAAAAAGTGAGCAAACGTTGTTTACCGCTTAGTTAGTATAATAAAGAAAAGTAACATATACATATGTAGAAACTAAACTTTTATATTGTAAAGATTTATGACTTTTATAAATGCAAACCCCCCTCAATTGACCAAGTGTTATCAGTTTTAACTATTATGAAGTCATTATGCCAAACTTAAATAATATACAGTATTTGATCATGTATAATAAGTTTTACGCATAGAGAACGCATATTAAACCAAGAAGAATAATGAACCAATGTCCTAGATTAAATAGGTAACGCTGCCTCCAGCAAACTACTACTATAAGTTAGGGAGAGAGGAGAGTACACATAATGACTGGAATAAACCTAAAGTCAAACACAAAGTGCTACTTTAGGAAGCTAGTGTATTCTAATTTAAAATAAAATATATTTCAGAAAATTTTATGGGCAATTTATTGAATACAAAAAAAAGGTAAACCATTTCATACCTAGCCACCTAGAACAATTAGATAGTAAAACCTTCTCTTAAAACGAAAGTGTTTTCTATAATTGTTAACTTCTCTAGGAATTCTCGGTGGACTACTTCCGGTGGTAGACAAGCAGCTCTGCTAGTGAGTGCTTTCCACCATTTCATAGGAAACAGCTGTTTCCTCTTTTTTTCCTTTTCTGTTGGATATCTTGTGCAAAACATAAAATCTCCTGGGGATGGAGGTAAAGTTTTCGCCATAATTTCTTCATTGAACTCAAGTTTTAAAGAGGTTTGTGTGCAAGAAGAAGACGCAGACTTACTTTGCTTTTGCTTCTTTTCAGAGCGAGAGTTCATTTTTAAATCCTTAAATCCTTTTTCTTTTTTTTTTGTATGTACTTTTGTATCCTCCGCTTCTTCCCGAAGTAGGCACGTAAAACAATCCATTATTCTATGATAGTAGAAGCATTTATGTTAATTTTCTAGCTTTTGACGTTAACAATCTTTAGGGTATTGCTTTTTCGAGTAAATATCTTTAAAGAAAGAATATTACTAGTAAATTACTTTTAAGCAGCAAACAAACATTCCCAGAAGGCAAGTGAGAGAACGAAAGACGAGAGAGTAGAGGGCAGGTACTAGTCTAGATAATATATATATATAGAAGCAAGTGATACATCCAACACAAATATGGCTAAAAAAATATGGTAGATTAACAATGTCTACGAATCAATTTCTTTTTTTAAAATTTGAAGGAGAGGGGCTATCTAAATTAGGAATATATTATAACATAAACGTCCAATCATTTTTCCTAGCTAAAATTTTAAAATTTTTTTTTGTTGGCTTTCTGTCTGCAGTAAAATGAAAAACACAGTGCAAAGGGTTAGCCAACTTTTTAATTTTTGGAAAAAATTATAATTTCTAATTACTTTCTAATATATATATCTTTGTACAGTTCTTATATATTAATTAAAAATTTAGAGGTTTAAAGTATATAGATTGCCTTAGAATCCTGTGATAATTATTTATCTGTAAAAACCCCCCTGGACAAGCAAAGTTTTTTACAATTTGGATTATTTTAATATTTATGATTATAATAAAATTTCTATAGAATTTTAATTATAATAAAAAGTTTAAGTCAATTTCTTTTGCAACATTAATGTAAACGAGCTAATAATAAGATTTGCTATAAATTACCCCCTCAGAGAGTAACAGAACTTTACAACCATATAGCTTAGTAAATTTACATAAAAAAACCATTATACTTTTTTAAAGAAACAATCCTATTTTATAAACCGATTTCTAATCTCAAAATATTGTAGTGAGACAAACTACTATTATAAAAAAAAAATTCGATCCTTTTTACCAGAAGAGACCACCATAAACTAATTATTAAAATATAAAATCTAAAGCTAAACCCATCAACGTTATATTATATAACTTATAAAGAAGACTAATTAAAGTAATCTATTTCGTTCCTTCTCCTCAGTTCTTTCGAGTGTTATATTTGCGAAGCGCTATTTTTTGATTAAGCCTATATATCTTATCTTGAACAAGCTTTATTATAGAGAACGTTTTTATTATAAATTAAGTTATTTATAATCAGATGATCTAAATTTGCAGGAAATAGATAAAATCTCTCCAATATTTTCAAATAATAGATATAATTTAAGAGCTATTTTATTATCTTAGAATCTAAAGTATCAATATTTTGCAATGGTAGAATTTTTTAACATATTACCTATTTAGTTGAACTGGTTTAATACTTTAAACCCTTAAGATGGGCAATTTATTCCATTGGGACAACCAACTTGATGCTATTCATTTCTTATATATTTACTGAAGTTAGAAAGGTTTGCAATAATAGCTATTTGCTTTATTTTAAAACTTAAATTGGGTATAATAAAAAGTAGAGGTTTTTTAAGATTATAATACTTATGCTCTATAACGAAAAAGGTTGCATAAGTATTTTCTCAATTGGATATACATATAATTTTCTCAATTATTTTTAATGAATTCTTCTATGAAACACAAAGAACTTTCATTTTTGTAAAATAGCTTTATAAGGTTTATATTTTAGTATGTTAATCTTACCACTTTTCTGTTCGCTTCATTATTAAACTAGAACATGTAACTCTAAAATTATTTACACTTTATTTATATTAGTATTTGAAAAAAAAAAGTTTCAAAATTTTTATTTTCCGTCTAGGAACTACAATATCAAAAGAGTAGTACTACATTTTACCCGAAGTATTTTAGTTATTTAAGTTAATTTTACGTTAAATTTATGTAAATTGATGACATGAACTTTAAAGTTTCAGTATTGATAACTCTTTTTCAAGTAAGTAATATTATCGCATTCTTTAATAGTTTAGTACGTGAGCCTGGCCACACTCTGAAAAAAAAGTTTGAGTTACGCTTATTTGTGCGAAGAACGAAAGAGATTGCATATTATAGTAATTAACTTAAAGTTTTTAGTTGACAGTCCTTATTCTAATTTAAATGTTTATGATTAAAAACAATAAGCTTATTAAATATGGATAAACCTGTGAGCATACTTAAAAAAAAGAACACTCTTTTATATAGCGTAGAATCATTTAAATTGTCTACTAGAGCAGTTACTTTTGAACAAGTCATGAAAAAAAAAACCATAAAACTTTGTGGATAAGACTTATTAGACTTTAAGAAACTTAGCTGACTTTTTCATCTAGACACTCTATTAGTTATACAG